AGATTCTCACTTAAATCTGCAGTGAATGTATTACTGAAGTAAAAGTACCTGAAGAAGTTTTCTTAAATCCCTGCATAAGTAATACAAAAATGTTGGTTCCCTGATTGTCACATAAATGGATGTTTTGTTTATAATTCTTCTTGCATTATTTCCACTTTATACTGGTTGATACTCATCTCTAACCACCCAAAAAGATATGTGATGGCCCTGACCAAGCAGAAAATTATCAATTATATCCTTTGTCTGAAGTTAGGGGCATCATCTGATTCAGCACTCGACTGGTCTTAGAGTAAAGGTAGTTTGTTTTAAATAATTATAATAGTTGAGTTTTTCTCATTGCTGTAGGACATGGAACCTCGAGCAGATATCGATGGACGACCATTTGAAGTTTTCATATGCCCTGTTCATGAACACAACTGTTATGAGGAGGGCCTGAAATGGCTAGACAACTACATCATATAGTTCACCTGAGTTCTCTCCATTACAGCACAGATAGTAACCAATGCACATATTTGTTGTGGTTCTTAAAATTCTGTATTGTAGTAAGTTATGATAGGAATTTTATGGAACATAAATGTTACAGGTTTTTCTGTTTGTTTTGAAATTCAAACATGCAGGATGACTGTTGAAAGTTATTTTATAAGTAAGTGATTGATTAACATATTGTTTCATTTCTTTTTTTGTGTTCATTGTAGAAGCATCTCGGGTATTTTTGCACTAAATGTTAATGTATAAGTGTAGTGGTAATAAATATAAATATACCAACATATACAGTATACAGTGAAACCTGTGTGTGGAATACAGCATTGTCTTTGAACAAATTTACATTACCAAGCAGAACATTATCAATTATATCCTTATATCCTTGGTCTGTAGTTAGGGGCATCATCTGATCCGGTCTTAGAGTAAAGGTAGTTTATTTTAAATAATTATAATAGTTGAGTTTGTTTCACTGCTGTAGTGCACCAGATCGCGAGAACCGCTCCAAGGACGCCCGTCTGAAGTATTTACATGCTCAGTTTATAAACGCACAGGATATGAGGAAGGCTTCAAATGGTTGGGCAGCTACATCGATTGATGTCTGGCACACATGGACTTGTGTTGTGTACTGCTTAACATCAATGTGTTCATGTAAGATTTTACCCTGAAGAAGGACATGATTATCGGTTTTGGGAATGTGAGGACACTCTATCAGACGGGCAAACTGGCACATTTCTGGAAAGAGATTCTTTCCTGAACAAGACAGGTAAGAAGATAACTGTTGGACGAGTACATCAATTGATGTCTGCCGAACATTGGCAGGATAACCATAGCACGAGCGGGAATTGAAGGAAATGGCATTTCCCAATCCTATTTCATCTTGGGAAGAGCAGGTGCCCCTGCTTAGAGGTGGCAACCCCACAAGGCACTCGGGTTGTGGAATGTGAGGACACTCTATGAGACGGGAAAACTGCCACAATTGGCAGCAGAGGCAACAAGATACAAGCTTGACATCTTGGGATTAAGCGAGGTCCGCTGGAATGAGTTCGGGGAAGCAAGAATGCAAGCGGGTCAATCCCTGCTCTTCTCTGGACAACCAAACGAAGACAATCCACATCAAGGAAGAGTTGGAATCCTGCTTAGCAAGGGGGCAAGGAACAGCCTCATCGACTGGAAGCCTGTTTCATCAAGGCTGATGACTGCAAGGTTCAAGGGACGAGTGAGGAACGTGACCATCGTGAAATGTTATGCTCCCACCGAAGAGGCAAATGAAGACCTGAAGACAAGACTACTCGCAGCTCCAAGACATCATAACGAGCTGCAGCAAGGATATCCTGATGGTTATGGGAAATCTAAACGCCAAGGTCAGATCAGAGAACCTGGGATTGGAGCAGGTCATGGGGAAGCATGGGGAGGGTGTCATTAACGAAAACGGACAGCACTTTGTCGACTTCTGTGCAACAAATGATCTCGTAATTGGAGGCACCATATTTTAGAATTTCCATGTCATAGGTAAGCAAATTAAAGTTTTGACGCTGTCTGGAATGTTGTTGATTCCGAGTTAATGAAATTCTGTGTTCCAGGACGCCGTGCTTGGAAGGAGCACTTTAAGGCGGTACATGCAGTGGTATATGTGGCTGATTTCACTCAAGAGGATCAGTGGGATCAGAGTAAAGAGCTTCTAGAGAGCCTCTTAGTAAATCCTTCACTAGAAAAAGTCCCTATCCTTGTTTTATTGAACAAGTTAGATGAGCCAACAAAAGGATTAGTGGACCGAATAAATTTACACCTCTCAGATGTGTTTGAGAAGACCACAGGCAATGTACGTAAATGAAGAGCAAGAAATATATGAATGTAAGGATGTATCTCGAAACAGATGGTATCAACCCTTTTAGACTGAAGCAATCAGAAGTATGTACATTTCTGGAAAGAGGTTCTTTCTTGAACAAGACTGGTAAGAAGATAAGTGGCATCTGGTTTGTGGCACCATGTAGTCTTGTAGAAGTTTAATGATGTTTCGAAGGTGCATCAGGGAAATCACCTTAGTGATGGAAAAAGTAAGCATCTCTGAAATGTTGGTAAACTTCTACCAGACTACAAAGTGCAACAATGCAAAACACCATCTTCACATTTGCTGTCATGAGATCCTCAAGTGTCATTAAGAAAATTAAGGATAAGATGCAAAGTATGTATTCTGTTTCCATTTTGGTTCCCGCATCTGCATGCTTCCTTGAGGTTTTATGAAAGAACTTTGGGACCGAATGCGAGACTCGTATCATGGTTCAGAGTTCACATTAAACTGTTTGTTCGCTCTGCTGACTATCATTCTCTTGATCATCCTATGATTCGAATTAACAGCATCTGCCCTGTGGGTGCTCCAACTTCAGAAGTGGAATTTTCTGCCTTGCCTCGGTGGGCAAAGGCCATACCAGGAGGATATAGGTATGAACAAATTTACATTACCAAGCAGAACATTATCAATTATATCCTTATATCCTTGGTCTGTAGTTAGGGGCATCATCTGATCCGGTCTTACAGTAAAGGTAGTTTATTTTAAATAATTATAATAGCTGAGTTTGTTTCATTGCTGTAGGATGGAGTATTTCGAGCAGATCTCCAAGGACGACGCCCGTTTGAAGTGTTTGTATGCTCAGTTCATGAGCTCCACAGTTATGAGGAAGGATTCCAATGGTTGGACCAGTACATCAATTGATGTCTGACGAACATTGGCGGGATAACCATAGCACGAGCGGGAAATGAAGGAAATGGCATTTCCCAATCCTATTTCATCTTGGGAAGAGCAGGTGCCCCTGCTTAGAGGTGGCAACCCCACAAGGCACTCGGTGCATGTGGGCTAATAACGCGCTAGCTTGCTTAAATATCAATTATTAAAGAAACTAAGACAAGAAGTAGCCGGACGGACTCTACGACGACGACTTTTAGTCTGAAGGACGACACGATTATTGTTTTTTGGAATGTGACGACACTCTATCAGACTGGCAAACTGGCACAATTGGCAGCAGAGGCAGAGAGCATGACATCTTGGGATTAAGCGAGGTCCGGTGGAATGGGTTCAGGGAAACAAGAACGCAAGCGGGTCAATCCCTGCTCTTCTCTGGAAAGGCGATACTTCCAACTGTGATAACTGGAGGTGTATCACTTTGCTTTCGATCTCCAGCAAAGTGCTGGCCAGAGTCATATTGAACAGGATCAAAGAGCGAATAGAAGAGAGACTGCGCAAGAGCAGGCAGGCTTCCGGAACAACCACTCGTGTATCGATCACATCAGAACTCTCAGAATTATCGTCGAACAGAAATACTCAAAAGAAGACCGTTTGAAATATTCACATGCTCTGTCAGAGAACACACTGGATATCAGTACGCCTTGGAATGGCTGGCATATTACATAGATTGATATCTGTTGTGTTGATGTATGATTTGAGATTTTCACGGCGGTGAGTATGAAGATTTCTGTCTTCTTGGTTGTTGCGCTGTGTAGTCTGGTTGATTTTTACCATACTACACGGCGCAACAACCCAGAAGATGGAAATCTTGATATTCATCGCCCTGATGATGGAGGCAGTACCACTTCTGATCTAAAATCTTACATATATGTTCATTGTTCAAAAAATAATTAGCAAATAAGTATTTATAACAAAATGTTTTTTATTCTTAAAGTATTTGTTACTATTAAAGAGAAGTAAATCCTTCAAATAATAATTAGCAAATAAGTATTTATATCAAAATGTTTTTTATTCTTAAAGTATTTGTTACTATTAAAGAGAAGTAAATCCTTCAAATATTAATTAGCAAATAAGTATTTATAACAAAATGTTTTTTATTCTTAAAGTATTTGTTACTATTAAAGAGAAGTTTTGAAGTACTGCAAGACCTAGACAGCGAGCCTGGTGAGAGCGTCGAAGAGTACTGGGCAAAGATCAAAACCGCTTTCACAAATAGAAGTAGAAGTGATAGGTTTCTGAAATGTTCAACGAAAAGATTGGATGACCGCAGAAACGTGGGAAAGAATTGAGGAGAGGAGGAAGCTCAAGTTGCAGCTTAACAACTGCAAAACAAGACTTCAAAAGACTGAGGTCCAAGCAGCCTATCTACAGAAAGACCACAAGGTTAAGCGTCATGCCAAAGCATACCTTAAGAAGTGGATAGCAGACCTAGCGCACAAGGCAGAAACAGCAGCCAACGCTGGAAATTTGAAAGAGCTATATGATGTCACACGCGCACTCTCAAAAAGAAGAACCATCCGAAACCGCCCAGTCAAAAGTAGAGAGGGAGAACTGCTAACCAACGAACAGGCACAACTGGAGAGATGGCACCAGCACTTCAACGAAGTTCTTAATAGAGAAGACGAGGATGAGCAGTGCGAAGATACTGAGGAGCAGGACAATAGAGAAGTCCTTCCCAGGTAAACGTAGTTTATTTTAAATAATTATAATACTTGAGTTTGTTTCATTGCTGTAGGCCATGGTACCTCGAGAAAATCTCAATGCACGACCATTTGAAGTTTTCATATGCTCTGTTCATGAACACAGTGGTTATGAGTACGCCTTTGAGTGGTTGGCATTCTACATGGATTGACATCTGTTGTGTTCCTATAAGATTTGAGGTTTGGGGTCAAGAACATATGCCAAAAGATTGGACAGGACTGCTTGTGAAACTCCCAAAGAAGGGCGACACTCTTGTATCAATCACATCAGCACTCTCAGAACTATCGTTGAACAGTGCAACGAGTTTATGGCCAGTCTCCATCTCGTTTTTGTAGACTTCGAGAAAACCTGTTGTAACGGTCCAAATTACATCTTCTGCTGAGGTAATTTGATCCTACCATTTAGTTCTTTTATTATTTTATTAGGCTGAATTTCTTTTTACTTTTCGTTTCAAAATTCTAACTTGTTGTTGTGTTTGGAGGGTAATACTGGGATGTTTACTTCTAGTTCATGGCATATACCTAACTGTTTAGGACAAAGACGTCCGAGGACCTTCGGTTCACATGAGTCTTGTGATTTTACACCAGGGCAATAAACTGGCGTGAATTGGTTGTAGTCCCAAGTGTCATACTTCAACATTTATGGCGGAAATATGTAGAAAGTTAGTTAGACTTTATGGTTCATTGTCACTCAGCAGATGATGTTGCTGGACCTTACGCATTAAATAGGTTGAGAGAGGACTCTTCAACAAACTTTCGAGGTAGCCGCACGCAAACCCAATACAGTTCTGAGATCATCGTCTTGTGGCTAAAGCCAAGTATTATCATCCGCACATCTGTATTTATTCTTAAATAATTAAATTGTGTATAAATAAAGTATTATATTCAGCGATAAAGGAAGCTTCTAGTTGTCGGGAGTTACATACCGTTAACACCCCTGAAGAGAGTCAAGTGATTACCAAAGAGCGAAGCTCCTATTACTGAGCGGCTATACTTTCATTCCCTCAAGAGAAAGAGCATGTGGAAAATCATGCGAAATCATGGCATCCCGGAGAAGTTCATTAATATTACGAGAGAAAATTACAACTATACATGTCGGATAATTCATGAAGGGAAAGTCTCTGATTCGCTTGAAGTGAAGTCTGGAGTAAGGCAAGGGTGCATTTTATCGCCGACAATCTTTCTCCTAGTACTGGACGAGGTGATGAAGAACGCCACAGAAAGGAAAAGAAGAGGCATACAGTGGGGTCTTACTGACAGACTCGAAGACTTAGATTTTGCCGACGATATCTGTCTCCTGTCGGAGTATCAGACAGACATGGAGAGGAAGTTGCAAGACCTAGAAGACAAAACAAAACAGTGGGACTTGGTCTGAAGTTAGGGGCATCATCTGATCCAGCACTTGAATGGTCTTATAGTAAAGGTAGTTTATTTTAAATAATTATAATAGTTGAGTTTGTTTCATTGTTGTAGGACATGGTACCTCGAGAAAGACTCAATAGAAGACCCTTTCAAGTATTCACATGCTCTGTTAAAGAACGCAGTGGTTATGAGTACGCCTTGGAATGGTTGGCATCCTACATTGATTGATATCTGTTGTGTTGATATAAGATTTGAGGTTTTCACAGTGGTGAGTATGAAGATTTCTGTCTTCTAGGTTGTTGCGCTGTGTAGTCTGGTAGATGTAACGGGAGAAGATGTCAAGGCGAGAATCCGCAAAGCAAACGCCGCCTTTATCCAACTGTATCCTGTTAGGAAAGCGCGAGAGGTCTCATTATCGACGAAGCTATGGATATTCAGGACAAATGTAAAAGCTGTGCTCCTTTACGGATGCAAAACTTGAAAAGTCACTGCTGAGATCATCAAGCGTCTCCAAGTATTCATCAACTGCTGCCTCCGAGGGATCCTTCGCGTGTTTAGGCACATCATCATAACAAATGAAGAACTTTTGAAACAAACAAATGAGGAGCCAATAGCCACACAAATTAAGAGCAGAAAATGGAGGTGGATTGGACATACCCTGCGGAAAGACCAATATGCTGTCGTAAAGCAAGCAATCTCCTCGAATCCCCAGGGACGGAGGAAGGGGAAGGCCAAAAACAACCTGGAGGAGAACCATTGAAGAGGAGACAAAGAAGGAAGGAAAGACCTGGAGGGAGCTGAAAGTTCTGGCTCGTAATAGAACTCGTTAATGCTGCTTTGTCAAGGCCCTATGCTCTGGCTAAGATCTACAGGACATCAATCAATTAAGTATTTATAACAAAATGTTTTTCCAATGACAAATTAAATACCAACTTAGTTTAATTATATAAATAAAGTATTTGTTACTCACCTCCATCTAGTGCTGAGGTCAAGAAAGAGTAGGAGCTATAACCTCCACTTGCCCAAAACGACCTACACCACTGATTCTTGTGCCACGTCATCACACTTGTTTGCTGAAACAAGTATAGGGAGATTTTTCATATCTGAATTATTCAGCAGGCTCTCCAGATAATATTTATCCATACTCCATCGCCTCTTGTCAGCATAATCCATCACATATACCAGTGTATGTACATGCTTGAAGTAATTTTTCCAAGCACGGCATCCTGGAACACAGAATTTCATTAACTCAGAATCAACATTCCAGACTGTGTCAAAAGTTTAACATGGAAATTCTAAAATATTTCAGTTTTTGTTTTCATTTGAAGATATTTGCTATTTCCATTTAAAAGAGAAGTTAGTTCAGAAAAATTATAATTCAACCATCCATAACACAGCAGATTATGAAAACCATAACTGAAAAAGTGATTTAGTGACTAGAAGTTTTAAACACTAGATACTTATTATAATTAAACTTTTTAAAATAGAAAAAAACTTTCTTTCACTTACCTTTAGAATTGCCTTTCATGTCACACACAGTATACTCCTTGTTATTTACTGTCACTTTTATCTCTTCTGCCTCTATACAAATAAAAACAAAAATATAGCCATTTCAAAATGAACACTTTCTTGTTTAGTTTAGGTAATTAAATCCACAAATCAGAGTCCTTTCATGCAAAGCTAACAGTCAATCAAGTAGTCAGGTCAGGAAATATCACCTCTTTTTTGGAACCAAAAATTAATTATTGTGTTCACATCAAATTATCATAACTTACTACAATACAGAATTTTAAGAACCACAACAAATATGTGCATTGGTTACTATCTGTGCTGTAATGGAGAGAACTCAGGTGAACTATTTTCTAGCTTAAAATTTAAAATTATATGTCCATTGTTCAAATAATATTTAGCAAATAAGTATTTATAACAAAATGTTTTTCCAATGACAAATTAAATACCACCTTATTTTAATTATATTCTTTAAGTATTTGTTACTATTAAGGGGCGTAATGCTGACCACTCACCCCGATCTAGTGCCGAGGTCAAGAAAGAGTAGGAGCTATAACCTCCACTCCCCACAAACGACATACACGGCGTGTAGCGGGATGTTTTTTTATTATTATTATTATTAAGAAGTAAATCCTTCAAATAATATTTAGCAAATAAGTATTTATAACAAAATGTTTTTCCAATGACAAATTAAATACCAACTCAGTTTAATTATATACTTAAAGTATTTGTTACTTACCTCCATCTAGTGCCGAGGTCAAGAAAGAGTAGGAGCTATAACCTCCACTCCCCACAAACGACATACACGGCGTGTAGCGGGATGTTTTTTTATTATTATTATTATTATATTAAAGAGAAGTAAATCCTTCAAATAATATTTAGCAAATAAGTATTTATAACAAAATGTTTTTCCAATGACAAATTAAATACCAACTCAGTTTAATTATATACTTAAAGTATTTGTTACTTACCTCCATCTAGTGCCGAGGTCAAGAAAGAGTAGGAGCTATAACCTCCACTCCCCCCAAACGACCTACACCACTGATTCTTGTGTCACGTCATCACACTTGTTTGCTAAAACAAGTATAGGGAGATTTTTCATATCAGAATTATTCAGTAGGCTCTCCAGATAATATTTATCCATACTGCATTCTACAACTGGACGGAGCTCCCCACCATTTTCACAGGAATGGACGAGTGCTTCTCAATCGTGTTTTTCCACAGCGCTGGATGGGATGAGTTTGATTACTGTGTGGATGTGTGTCGTGTGACCCAGGGTGCACACATTGAAGGATTGTAATTAACGCATGAGAAACTTGGACAGTTGCGGCCACTGACGGTGTATGTTGTGCCCGTGTAAGCTGTAAAATAAATTTTTTATTAACTTTTGAAACTGCACCATTCTTTTGTGTACACTCTGTATATAACTGTGTCACTTCATTATATTTTAAATCATCTTTTTATTCTGTTCAGTTTTGTGAAATAGCTCCTGAGATATTACCGGGTCTACAATTTATGCTGTAACGGCCTTGCTTGCATTGCGTGCTCGGCCGAGTGCACTGTTGGTGTGGGATAGAGATAGCGTGTTATTCCCGTGA